CACTCCATATACAAAAAACAACTCAAGGTGGATCATGGATCTAGGACTAAAACCAAAGACTATAAACTTCATTAAAGAAAAGCTTTTAGAAAGAACATAAAAAGAATTTGAAAAATATAACCAAAGTCCTCAAATTGTACATACACAACTTGCTGAGCTGGAGTATGTCTTTAAAGTTCTATTATGAGAAAACTACATGATAAAACCATTTTGTTAGTTTAACTAAAGTTCTGTATTATGAAAAATTTGTAGTATTTAAGAGATTATTTCCTTGAGATAAATTACTACTTCAAAAATAATTAAAACATTATACATATGACAACACCCCAGAATAGGAGGTATATTGCAAAGAGGAATGGGAGAATTGGGGGGTGGCAGTAATTGTGCAACAATGAATGAATATTTTTTTAAAAAGTGAACTGGAGCAGGGGAAGAGAGAGAGAAGGGGTTAAAATGTGCAACAATGAATGCAAAAAAAAAAAGAAAATCTAACCTTTCTGTAAACTTTCACTATAATCAGATTTAAAAGAAAAAATTATTAAAACAAATAAAGTAAAATTAAATAATCATCTGGAAAAGAATAAATGAATCACAAACCATAAAATTAACATGGACTATTTTAACTACATACTATTTACTAATGTTCATGTTATTTTCTTAAAGGTCAGTAAATTGGAGTTAGAACTGGAAAATGCCAAACAAAAATTTGAAGAAATGACTGAGAGCTACCAGAAAGAAATTGAGGATAAAAGGACATCAGAAGAAAATCTTTTGGGAGAGGTAGGAAAAAATGCTTAAAAATATGTTTTGCTGAAACATTATATTGTTTTTTTTTAGCATTTTTAGGGAAAAGTAATAAGAAATTTTAATGTTAAAGTTATTATTTAAAAAAATGATAATTGTATGAAACATAGGAGTTTATTACTATCAATTTGATTCCAATTGCACAGATAACCCTGTAGGACAGAGTAGAACTGCCTCTAGGGTTTCCAGGCTGTAAATGTTTATGGAGGGCAGACCTCACTTAGGAGCTAAGCTCTTAACCACTACACCATCAGAGCTCCTTAATAAATGTGAATTAGGAGAAGGTCCTCATCCATATGGAGTTGGATTTCTCAAAGGCCTCACCTCTCTGGTGGTTTGAGGCTACCAACTGCTCCTTCGGAGAAAGATGGACAGTCTCTTCCAATGCAATTTGCAGTCTTGGACACTCAATAGAGGGTCAGTTATGAGTTGCTTCTGACTTGATAGCAATGATTTTGAACTTTTAAAAAAGACAATATTTGTACAAGCTAAAAATAAGCTTATCCTTTTAATTTTTTGAGTTTTGAGTAACGTATACTTGAGAACATCAGATGATAATTACAGTGTTATAATGCCATCTCTTGTAATGTTGTTATTGTTATGTGCCATCGAGTTGCTTGTTACTCATAGCGACCCTGTTTAATAGGACATCCTAAAATAAACCAAACCTGAAATAGATTCCCTCAATTTCCTGATGTTTGATTGCTGCATTTTGTGTAGGTAGAACATGTTTTCACATTTAAGTTAATTTTGTTGTTTTATGCATTAATTGAAAGAAAGATTTGTTATTTGATAGGTTGAGAAAGCAAATATAATAGCTGATGAAGCAGTTAAGTTACAGAAAGAAATTGATATGCGATGTCAGCATAAAATAGCTGAAATGGTAGCACTTATGGAAAAACACAAGGTAATTGTTTTCTTTTTATATATAAAATTATTAATGGGAATAATATTTCTACTTAGAGATTATAAAATCAAGATGGCATTATCATTTGCAAAAGAAAATGATCAACTTTATGCTGTTGTTGTTAGATCTATCAAGTCACTTACCATCCTTAGCGATTTTATGAACAAATCTGAATCTTACCCTATTCCAGTCCATCCTCTCTATCTCTTCCATACTGAAGCCCATTGCTGTAGCCATTGTGTAGGTCTGTTTCATTGTCTGTCTTATCTTTTGTTTACCCTCTGCCTCTCCCAGTATGATGTTTTTTCCCAAGGACTGGCTCCTCCTGACAACATGCCCAAAGTGTGTGAGATGAAGTTTCACCATCCTAGCCTCTGTGGAGCACTCTGGTTACACTTCCTCTAAGACAGACTTTGTTCTTTTGTCAGTCTGTGATATATTCAATACTTTTCTACAACATCACAATTCAAAGGCACTGATTCCTTTAATGTCATCCCTGTGCCTTGTCTGACTTTGAGGTGCATAGAAAGCAATTCAGAAAACCAGGTACACTTTAGACTTTAAGGTGACAGTGTTGCTTTTTAAGCACTTTATGGAGGTCTTTGACAGAATATTTTCCCAGTGCAACACATTTTTGATTTCTTGATGGCTGCTCCCATTATTGCTGATGGTGGATCCAAGTAAAATAAAATCTTTTCTTCATTTACCATGATATTTTCTGTTGGTCTGATTGTGAAGATTTTTGTCTCTTTTAAAATTTTTGTGAGTGACAGGATAATATTCATACTCATACAAGGAAGCCCAGTGAATAACACTATCATTCAAATATATGTGCCAACAACTTGAGCCAAAGAAGAAATAGAAGAATTCTACCAACTTTTGCAGTCTGAAATCAATCAAACATGCACTCATGTGCACTAATAATAATAATAATAGGTGACTGAAATGTAAAAGTTGGGAACAGGGGAGAAGGATTAGTAGTTGAAAAATGTGAACTTGGTGACAGAAATGAGGCTAGAGATAGAAGGATAGAATTTCTATACACCCAGAGATTTATTCATTGCAAATACTTTTTATAAAAAAAAACCACAAACACAGGCTTTACACGTGGATTTCACCTGATGGTATGCATAGGAATCAAATAGATTACATCTGTGGAAATAATTATCAGTGGTGAAAACTAGGCCAGGTGCTGATTGTGGAACAGACCACTGACTATTCATACGCAAGTTCAAGCTGAAGTTGAAGAAAATGAAATCAAGGCCACAGGAACCAAAGTTTGACCTTGAGTCTATCCCACTTGAATTTCAAAATCATCTCAGGAACAGGTTTGAGGCCTTGAACACCAATGAGCCAAGACCAGATGAGCTGTGGTAGAATATCAAGAATATCATCCAGGAAGAATGTAAAAGGTCATTAAAAAGACAGAAGAGAAAGAAAAGACTAAGATGGATGTCAGAAGAGACTCTGAATATTGCATTAGAGCTCTGAAAAGCCAAAGCAAAAGGAAGAAATCAAGAAATTAAGGAGTTGAACAGAAGATTTAAAAGGGCAGTGCGGTAAGACAAAGCAGAGAGCTGGAGTCAGAAAACCAAAAGAGCTGAACATTTCTTAAGCTGAAGGAACTGAAGAACAATTCCAAGCCTCAAACTGAAATACTTAAGGTTGCTTTGGGCAGAATATGAAATGACCCAGGAAGCATTAAAAGAAGGTGGAAGGAGTATACAGAGTCACTGTACCAAAAGGAAGTGGCTGACACAGAAGAATTCATGAAACAACGTATGAAAGGAAACAAGAAGAGAAGGAAATTCTCTTTTTCCTTTTTGCCTGTGGTGATGAAGGAAGAAGTTTAAGCTACCCTGAAAGAATTGGCAAAAAACAAGGCCCCAGGAATTAAAAACATACCAATTGACATATATCAGCAAAGAGATGTTGCCCTGGATGCACTCAGTAATTTGTGCCAAAAATCTGGAGAACAACCACTAGGCCAACTGACTGGAAGAGATCTATTGTTCCCATTCCAAAGAAAGATGATCTGACAGAGTGTAGAAATTATTGAACAATATCATTAAGATCACATGCAAGCAAGATTCTGCTGAAAATGATCAAAAAAACGACTGGAACAGTACATCAACAGAGAACTGCCTGATGTGCAGGCAAGGTATAGAAGAGGCCGTGGTACTAGGGCTATTATAGCTAATATTAAATAAATCTTGGTTGAAAGCAGAGAGTACCAGAGGAATGTCTATCTGTGTGTCATTGACTATGCAAAGAAGGAATTTGACTGTGTGGGTCACAACAAACTTTGGCTGACTTTGAGAGGAATGGGAGTCCAGAATACTTGATTGTGCTTATGCGAAACCTGTACTTGGACCAGGAGGCAGCCATCAGAACAGAGCAGGGAAACACTGCATAGTTAAAAAATGGGAAGAGTGTACACCAGGTTTGTGTCCTTTCTCCATACCTTTTGAATCTAAATGCAGAACAGATCTTTTGGAAGGCTGGGCTCTATGAGGAGAAATGTGGCATCAAGATTTGGAGGAAGACTCATCAACAACCTCTGTGTTATGCAGATGACACTACCTTTTTTGCTGAAACTGAGGAGTACTTGAAGTGCTTTCTACGGAAGGTCAAGAACTGCAAACTTAAATATGGATTGAAGTTCAACATCAAGAAAACGAAGATTCTCACCACTGGGCCTGATTGGTAGCATTATGATAGATGGTGAAGAGATTAAAATTGTTAACAGCCTCAGTTTGCTTTGCTCCGCAATCAACACTCTTGGTATCAGCAGCCAGAAAATCAAAAGATGAATTGCATTGGGAAATTCTGCTGTCAGGGAGCTCTGTAGAGTATTGAAGAGCAACGACATCAGTCTGGAGACTAAGATGCACCCGAACCAGGTCATAATCTTGACAATGACTTGCTATGTGTTAGACAGCTCGACAGTGACTATGGATGATAGAGAATTGATGCCTTTGAGCTGTGCCTTTGATTGCTTTGGGGCTGGAGAAGAGTCTTGAATATTCCATAGATGACTAGGAGAACAAACAGTTTCGTCCTGGAGAGGGTGAAACAAGGCTGTTCCTTTGAGTCAAGGATTCTGATGCTTCATTTGACATTCTTTGGGCATGTTGCAAGGAGGGTCCATCATTTTTAGAGAGGGACATAATTTTTAGAAGGCTTGGAGGGAGAGCAGAAGAGAGGAAGACTCTGGAATGAGATGGATTGATTCAGTAAGTAAGGTAATGAGGGCTGGTGTGTCAGAGACAATAAGGTTGGCACAGGATAGAGCAATCCCAGGGCTTATTGTACATAGGGTCGCTATGAGTTGCAAGTGACTCGACAGCACATAACAACAGTAACATTTTTTATTGATTTGCATACAAAATTATTCTTATACATTGTGTTTCACATGATCCTTCATACACATTGTGTTTCATACAATGATTCTCATTAATAATTAATTATATCACCCTTATGAACTATGCCAACCATTACCCTGTGTTTCCAGAACCTCACTGGATCTTTCCCATTTCTATTATCCTTTTCCTTTATCCACCCAGTTGTATAACTCTGTGATTTGTCCCCTGCCCCTTGTAACCCCTCTGTTTCTAGCCTTCCCCCCTTGGATCCCCATTCACATTTTACTAGTTCTATTTTTACAATAATGTTCTTATTTAGTATTTGTCCTTATGAGATTGAGTTCGTTCACTAAGCATAATGCTCTCCAGTCTCTCCCAAGTTCTGTAGTAATTTTCTAGATCATTGCTCTTAGATTTTTATTTTCTTGATGTTGAGATGCAATCCATATTGTAGGCTTTAGTCTTTGATCTTTTTCAGTAAGTATTTTCAATGTTGCAGGTTTTCTTCAGTTACTGAAAGCAAGGTTGTATCATTTTAAAACGATGTCACATTTTTCTTCATGTGACTCAGCTTCTTGAATGATTTGCTCAGCAGAAAGATTGAGTAGGCAAAATAACTAACTCACCCTCTGTTCAGTTATCCTCCAATTTTCATAGTAGTAAGTTTTAAAAATTTTTATTTTATTAATTTTAGTGAA